GGTGTCACAAAAACCCTAGGAGAAGTGCTCATGATTGGAGGAGTGCAAAAGGGTAAATTGGCTTGGCTAGAAAATGTCTTAGGCAAAGTTCTTGGAGTGGTGTGGTTCACCATACTCTATGGACCATGGCTAGAAGTGCTATTTTAAATACTTTGGGGTTGAAAATGAATTTTCTCAAAAAGTTTTCTAGATGAACACTTGTTTAAAGCTTCTTTGAATTCTCCCGGTCTCACTCAGATTGGTTTCTCAATTTAAAACTTGGTAAGCGAAGTATCCGAAAATTTAGGATTGTGGAATAAAAGAAGTTTTGGTGTTGAATTAATTTAAAATGTGTCCAAAATAATTTTATTCAAACACCACTTGATCGCAAAATTTTTTTAATTGAGTGAAAATGGCTATTTTGAAATTTCTTAAAATTGAATTTTGGATTGTTACAGCCGGCCCAATTAAGGGGCAAAGTGCTGGCCATACTCTCGACCTCTCTTAAGAGATGAGTATGCACGACCACTCACGCCAACCAAGCTGGTTATAATAATTCATGAATTGAGTTTATAATTTAGGTATAACTAATGGACTAAAACTGTCATTTTGCCAAAAATTTATTACTATGTTATGAGGTGATGAATATTAAGTGATAAATTAAGAATGAAAAATAACATTTTTTTTAATGTGGAAAGAATTATACTTAATGGTTTTATCGGGATCGGGTCCACTATAAATCGATGGAATGTACAAAATCTGAGATAATGACCCAAAGAATAAGTAAATAATACAAGTTATAACTAAATAGTTGACTAGAAATAAAATAATACAAGCTATAGCCTAAATAGTGGACACTGGTGTATGGGTTGAATGTTAGGATCACAAACCACTGGACCAGGGGGGATTTAGTGAACAAGGGATGATGTCTAAAGGAAGACATCAAGCTCCTAATATAGCGTTGAAGACCTTTCGGATGGTTGAAAAATGTACGGCTCTAGCTTGCCTTCATTATTGGTTATACATGTGTCTCTTCACTATTTGGATGCCAATGATCTTCACATGGGTAAGTCTTACTCTTTAATATATGATATCTTGAGTGGCTTGGGTGGTTGGTGTTGTTTGTGTTATTAGGCTGAGGTCATGGGTTTGAACCTAGCTTTTTTTTTTTATTTTTTTTTTTTTTTGGTGGGGGTTTGAACCTAGCTTGTTAGTTCACCTTTGTTAATATATTTCTTCCTTTCACACTCCCTTCAACTTCTTAGACCAATACTTTCCCAATAGAGCGTTATGTTGTGCAACCGTGTGCACCATGCACGATTGCAAAAACGACGTCGTTTTGACGTCCAACTTAAAAAAAAATAAAAAATAAAAAAAATCAGTTTCGATTGTCGTTAACGGCGTTATGTTGTGCATAATTTGAACTATACATCCATAACTTCATAACTATACATTCAGAATTGCATAACTACACATCCACAACTTCATAACTATACATTCAGAATTGCATAACTACACATCCATAACTTCATAACTATACATTCAGAATTGCATGCATAACTACACATCCATAACTTCATAACTATACATTCAGAATTGCATGCATAACTACACACCCATAACTTCATAACTATACATTTAGAATTGCATGCATAACTACACATCCATAACTTCATAACTATACATTCAGAATTGCATAACTACACATCCATAACTTCATAACTATACATTCAGAATGTGAAATTATAACTTCATAACTATACATTCAGAATTGCATGCATAAATACACATCGATAACTTCATAACTATACATTCAGAATTGCATAACTACACATCCATTGTTGCGAAGCTTCAATGAGAGAGGGAAGATGGAAGTTTAAAGAGAAGGTAACTGCTTTATTCATCATCTTCCAACTTACAGAGAAGAGACCTTTTATACGAGAGAGAAGAAGTTGGGGCTAACTCTATGGACAAAACAGATTAACTGAAAAATAACAACTTGAACATCAGCTGCTAATAACAGACTAAACAGATTTATTCCATTGGGCTGGGCTTGGACTGATTTGCTGTTGGGCTTGATCTGCTTGTAGTTGTGATGTCTGATAGCCCCCCGCAAGCTGGATTATATAGATTGAACAATCCCAGCTTGGAAACATAGCTGAAGAAGGTGGCTGGACAGTGAGCTTTTGTCAAGATATCTGCTAGCTGACTTCCAGAGGCCACATGAAACAGCTTGATGGTGCCATTGTGGAGTTTTTCCCTGACTAGATGACAATCTATCTCAATGTGTTTGGTTCTTTCATGGAAAACCGGATTCTCACTGATTGCTATGGCAGACTTACTATCACAGTAGATGGCAGCAGGTACTTTGGGATGCACTCCAAGTTCATTTAGAAGATAGATCAGCCATTGAACCTCACATGTTGTTGCTGCCAAAGCTCTGTATTCTGCTTCTGAGGAGGATCTTGATATTGTAGCTTGCTTTTTTGACTTCCATGATATCAAAGCTTGATCAAGGAATATGCAAAAGCCAGTGACAGACTTTCTTGAATCCACACAAGCACCCCAATCAGAGTCTGAAAAAGCTTTTAGGTGCAAATCAGAATTGGTTGGGAAAAATAAACCTTGTCCTGGAGCACTTTTAATGTATCTAAGAACTCTGTGTACAGCTTGTAGATGTAGGTGTGTAGGATTATCTAGAAATTGGGATAGTTGTTGTGTAGCAAAACTTATATCAGGCCTTGTAATGGTTAAGTATAGTAACTTTCCAACAAGCCTTCTGTACAGAACATTGTCATCAAGAGGATCACCTTCTTTTTTACTCAACTTGTGTGATGGGACAGTTGGACTGTAAACTGGTTTGGAATCCATGAAACCTGCCTCATCCAATAATTCTAAGGCATATTTCCTTTGAGATACAGCAATTCCCTTCTTTTGTCTAGCTACTTCTAGTCCTAAGAAGTACTTCAAGGGACCTAGATCCTTGATCTGAAACTGATCATTAAGCTCCATTTTAACCTGCTGAATCAACTTCAAATCAACACTAGCCACTACTATATCATCTACATAAACTAGTAGGGCCATGAATGATGTTCCTTCTCCTTTAATAAACAAGGAATTATCAGGAACAGTTTGCTTAAACCCCATGTTCTGCAAAGCAACACACAACTTGGTATTCCACTGCCTACTTGCCTGTTTTAAACCATATAAAGACTTGATTAATTTGCAAACTTGGCCATTACTTCCTTCTGCATACCCAGGGGGAAGATCCATGTATACTTCCTCTTCTAAGACCCCATGAAGAAAAGCATTGTTCACATCCATTTGATGTAAATGCCATCCTTTTGCAGCTGCAACTGCTAGAAGAGTCCTGATGGTGGTCATCTTGGCCACTGGGCTAAATGTGTCTAGGTAGTCAATTCCAAGGGCTTGGGTGTAACCTTTGGCCACAAGCCTTGCTTTATACCTCTCAATTGTACCATCAGCCTTGTGTTTTATTTTGTATACCCATCTACATCCAATTGTCTTCTTGGATGGTGGCAGATTTACTAACTCCCAAGTGTTATTGCCTTTTAAGGCATCAATTTCTTCCTTCATGGCTTTCTGCCAACATTCATACTTCACTGCTTCCTTGTAGCTTCTAGGTTCTGTGTGACATGTGAGATTCATAACAAAAGAGTGGAATGAGGGTGAGAGTGTAGTGTAGTTTACCACCTTTGAGAGATCATGTGGGGAAGATCTGACTATAGAGCTATGACACACATAGTCTTTTAGGTAAGCAGGAGTGGACTTCTGTCTATTGGATTTTCTGATGACAGGCTGTTGATTCTGTTCTGATGAGGTGTTGTGTACCTGCTCAGTTGAATTTTCAGAAGCTTCATTAGGATAATTCTGAGAGTCATCAGTGTCATGAGAGTCATTCTGTGGGCTAAAAGTATCCTGGGAACCATTATGACAATCATTAAGAGAACCTGTTGAAGGACAACCATTAGCTCTCTGGGAAGGAGTGTCAGAGAATCCCATTGAAGTGTCTGCTGGGAGAATAACTTCAGGAGCTTGTTTCTTGGGCACAATAGGTTGAAAAGGAAAATTATTCTCATAAAAGACCACATCTCTGGAAAGAAAGACTTCCTTTGTGCTTAGATCATATAATTTGTACCCTTTAGTTCCATTAACATATCCAAGAAACACACACTTCTTGGCCCTTGCATCAAACTTGGATTTTGGTCCTAGTGTAGCAGCAAAGGCTAGACAACCAAAAACTCTTAAGTCTTGATACTGTGGAACTTTCTGAAGGAGAACTTGATATGGTATTTGTTGATTGATGGCAGCAGAAGGTAGTCTATTTATGATGTAGGCAGCATGTAATATGCACTCCCCCCAAAACTCTTCTGGTAAATGTGCTTGGAACTTGAGAGCTCTTGCAGTGGACAAGAGATGGCCATGTTTTCTTTCCACTCTACTGTTCTGCTGTGGAGTATATGTACAAGATGTCTGATGTAGGATCCCTTCTTGGCTAAAGAAATCACTCATGTCAAACTCAAGCCCATTATCTGACCTTACACTCTTAACAGTTACTTGAAACTGATTCTTGACCATCCTGCAGAATCTAATGATTAAGTTTCTGACTTCAGATTTCTTTCTCATTAGATGCACCCACACAGCTCTACTGTAATCATCCACCATGGTGAGAAAGTATTGGTGACCATGGATAGATGCTACCTTGTATGGACCCCAAATGTCCATATGCAATAACTCAAAACAGGTTGTTGAGACAGAACTACTGGGCTTGAAAGGAAGTCTCTTCTGTTTAGCAAGATGACAACAATCACAAATCAAACTTTTATTCACTTGAATTGATGGGTTTACATTGTGTAGTAACTGAATCTTAGAGTGTGAGGCATGTCCCAATCTAGCATGCCACAAGGTACACTTATTCAAATCTGAAACTGCACTATTTACAAAAGAATCAACAGGAAAAATTAAGTGGTACAGCCCATCTTGTAGTTCAGCCATTCCAATCATCTTGCCATGAATGTCCCCTGTATCATACATTGGTTAGTATGAAAACTCATTGTGCATCTGGAACTCCTAACAAAGGCTCCCACAGATATTAAGTTGTACTGAAATCCAGGGACATATAACACATTATGCAGAACAAATTCCTTGGACAGATATACAGAACCAATACAAGTAATGCTAACTTTCTGTCCATTAGGCAAACTGACATGTATATCATGAACCTCCCTTTTATCAGTCAGTAAATTTATACAGCACACAATATGGTGGGTAGCACCACTGTCCAATATCCATTTATATTGTTTGTGATTTGCAAGATTGAGAGATGAGCTTGTACCTTCAGTTTGAGTTCTTGGTATGATATTAGCAGATATGGTGTTCACCTGTGCTTCTTGATCCAGAGGTGAACTGAGAACCCCTTTGTCTCCACATGACTTATGGATTTGGACAAACTCCATAAATCTTTTGAAATCATTATGAGTGAATGAAGTATTCTCATCAGAAGCTTGCTGTTGAACTATCAATGGTCCCTGAGCCTGATTAACAGAACCTTGGCTTCTTGGCTTTGATTTCCATCCAGGTGGGAAACCATGCTTCCTATAGCACTTGTCTTCTGTGTGTCCAGTGTACCCACAGAAGGTACATGTGGGTTTCTTGTTGCCTGTGAATCTCTTGAAGTTTTGTTGGGAACTACCTGCTGCCCTGGACATCAACACACTGCCAGAAGTCCCATTTTCACCAACTTGATGCAGTTGGCTGTTAAAACCAGTGTTCCCAATATGGAACTGTCTCTCTTGTTGTGCTATCATGGAGTAGGCATCACACACATCTGGAAGAGGTCTCATAAGCATAATCTGGTTCCTTGCACCAGTGTATCTATCGTGTAGACCAATGAGGAAGATAGAGAGCTTATCCTTTTCTACTTGCTCATTCAATTGATCGATTTTGCTACCACATTCACACCTCAAAGTACATTCACAGCTAACAGTAGGTCTGAGTATTTGGAGTTCATCCCACAACAATTTTTGCTGGGTGAAATATTCATTCAAAGAACCATCACCCTGTTTCGTCTGGTAGATTTCACACTTGATCTCGGCAATCCGAAACAAGTCTTGTTGACTGAACCTACGTTTCAGGTCTCTCCATATGCCATATGCAGTGTCAATCCATAGAACACTGCGTCCAATCGTAGGAGATAACGACCGGACAATCCAAGTAACCACCATGTCATTGCAGCGTCCCCAAACCTCGAATTTCCGATCATCTTTGGGAGGTTTGAGGATAGAGCCGTCAACAAACTTGAGTTTGTTCTTGCATGACAATGCCATCGTCATGGCTCTCGCCCATGGATGGTAATTTGAACCATCCAATGGCGTCGAGACGAGCACTAGGGCTGGGCTCTCATTGGGGTGAAGAAAGAAAGGGTTTGACTGAGACTCTGGATCAAAAATTACCTCTGCAATAGTTGACCTAGTCGCTGAGATGGACGGAATTCCCATCGCCGGGTTTCCCGGAACAGGTGCCGGACCTCCATTTGCCGGAGCTGCTCCCGTCGTGTTCATCGGAGTAGTCCTCTCTCCAATCGTTGGCCACGCCGCTGCCATATTGAACTATCTAAGAGAGCTCCTTCGTCTTCTTAGCAAAGCTCTGATACCATGTTGCGAAGCTTCAATGAGAGAGGGAAGATGGAAGTTTAAAGAGAAGGTAACTGCTTTATTCATCATCTTCCAACTTACAGAGAAGAGACCTTTTATACGAGAGAGAAGAAGCTGGGGCTAACTCTATGGACAAAACAGATTAACTGAAAAATAACAACTTGAACATCAGCTGCTAATAACAGACTAAACAGATTTATTCCATTGGGCTGGGCTTGGACTGATTTGCTGTTGGGCTTGATCTGCTTGTAGTTGTGATGTCTGATATCCATAACTTCATAACTATATATTCAGAATGTGAAATTATAAAATTATGAACATATGTTTACGTAACTAACGGCAATCAAAAATGATCTTTTTCTTTTTAAGTAAAACGACGTTGTTTTACAACCGTGTACACTATACATGGTGCACACAATTGCACAACATAATTTGTCTTTCCCAATAAAATAGGGCCCGGGTCCCATGGCACCATCAATACTTTTCATATATGGAAATTTTAATTCTGTCAATTATACTCGAAATTTCAATTTTGTCTTCTTTTAGTGTTGGTAAAAAATTATTATCCATATTGAGATTATTCTATTTTTTTTTTCCATTATAGTTTAAGAGCAAATTCCGCTTTATTACTCGATTATTTTTATATTAATATATTTAGTCATACACTTTAAATTTTTGTCACATTACATCATTAACTTCCATATGTTTGTCACATTTTTTTTTTTTGATAATCGTTTGTTTCTCAGATTTAGTCTTTTGTTTAAATTTTACCATTACTAAAGATGCTTGAATAATGGAATTAGATGTTGGGGTAAGATGTTTAAATAATTTCACTATTCAATTATAAGAGTTTATGGAGAAGAAGATAAATTACATGTTGGGATAATATGGTCGAATAATAAAATTATATGTTAACCATTTTTATTAAACAGTTGAATAATAAAAATTTAAAAATAGGATTAATTGTGGCAAACAAATTAAAATCAAGGTTGTAATTAGACAAAATTAAAAAGTAAGACTAAATAAAACAACGACATAATAATCGATGACTAAAAATGTAATTACAATTAGTGTTAAAATCATTTTGTAATTAGGTCACCAAAATCATTTTGTAATTAAATTCAATGATTTTAAAACTAATTATGACTAAAACAACGGCATCATAATTGTTGTAATTTACTTTATAATTTAGTGTTAAAATCATTGAATTTAATTGCAACAATTTAATAAGATCTAATTTTAAGATTATTGTAATTATTGTACCTCCCGTATTACCCCTCCTTAACTTTAGTAAAAAAATTAAATGCTAAGGCAACATTGATTAAATGTATATAATAATGAGGGTTGAAATAAGAAATAACTTTGTCAAAAGATTTGACAAGACTACGTTAGATGAATGTGAAAGAGAGAAAACTATGTACATGCATGCTTTGTAAAATAAATAAATAAATGAAAAACAATGTTCATAGGAAAATTTTAATTAAAAAGGAAAATAATTATTTTCCCACAATTTTTGTGTATCATGGAATTATTATTAGTTATTCTTGAATTCTTTTCCAGTTATAATTATTTTGATTATATCGAGGAGAAGAAAAAAACATATTAATAGCAGGATCCATAGTCATACTCATAAATTCATGTTCTTTATCACTTGACTAGAGGCCAACTGGAAACCAAAAAGCAAAAACATAAAAAAAAAAAATAATAATAATAATAATAATAATAATAAAAACAATTTTTTTGTTTGTTTGTAACGGCTGGACTCTGTAGTGTTGAGTGTTGATTAAGGTTTAATGCCAAATTCATGTTCTTAATCACTAGAAACCAAAAACCTCTTCTGCATGCCTTCCATTTTTCGTTTTGCAACCGCCATCTTTTTCTTCCTTATTGCCATTTCTTTAATATCTCCCTTTCTTTCTCTCTTATAAGTCTTAACACTTTTTGTGTCTTTAATTTGGTTTTTCTTTTTGGTGTGTTTGAGGAAAGGCTGCAGAAATGGGTTCTGATGGTGCTGAGCAACAGTTGATGAAGCAGCTTGTAGATGCTGGGAATGAGCTTCTCCAGAATTGGAACCTCCTGGGGGCTTCAAAAGAGGAGCTTTTGGAAAAACTTCAAGTGAGGCAACCTTAGCTTTCGTTCTCCACTACCCTTTTCACCAATTCAAAATGCTTACTTTTATGTGTATTTGTGTAAGCTGTGTCTTGAATTTGGATCTTGATATCAAAACCCGTATGTTTAATTTGGTGGTTACTTGGTCCTTAGTCCTTACGGTAATATGGTGATGCCAAAATTTTGGTGTTGGATGCTTTTTTGCAGGTTCGATCCATTTTTCATAGTTGGGAGGATTTTATGTGGTAAATGGGGTTTTATAGTGGTATTATCTGCATGTGTATGTAAATGCAACCCGGCCATACATAAAGATTAATTTGTTAGTTTATGGTATTGCTTGAATATAGCTAACATTGATTGAATGAGGGATGAAAAGTTGTATGCTTCTGGATGGTTTTGTATTGATTGAACATTGTTGTGTCTTGAATTTCAATTCGAACTTGATTTGAATACCCTTATGCTTAATGGTATATATGGTGATGTCAAAACTTTGGTGTTGGATAATTTCTTGTAGATTATATACCCTTATACTTAATTTGGTGTTGCTTGAATATAGCATTGGATCTGCTCAGATCAGGGGTCTTTGATTGAATGGGGGATGAAAAGTTGTGGTTTTGTATTGATTGAACGTTGTGCCTGCTTGTTGTGTCTTGAATTTCAATTCGAAGTTAGTTGATTTGAATACCCTTATGCTTAATGGTATGGTGGTGTCAAAACTTTAATTTCTTGTAGGTTCCATTATATTAAATTTACACACATATATATATATTTTCCATAGATTGATGATGGGAGGATTTTTTTATGTGGCATTTCTGATTTCTATATACTTCTCAGAGATTAGGGCTTCTTCTATCTAATATAAATCAAGAGCAATCGGGATCATTTCATGAAGCACTTCAACCTTCAATCAAGGCACTATTTGGTGATGAACTTGTACAACATGCTGATCTGGAAGTGAAAATCTCAACAGCATACTGCATGAGTGAGATTTTGAGAATAACAGCTCCAGATGAACCCTGTGATGATAAATCAATGGAGGCAATTACACACTTCAATTCATTAATCTTTCCATTCCCTATTTAATGTTTAAACTTCAAGTATTGATTCTCTTTTCACCAGATCGAGGATCGGAGTTTGATCGCAACTAAAAACTGTCCTCTTTCTTGTTCAATCATGCAGGAATTCTTTCGGCTTGCAATAATGGCCTTCAGGAAGTTGGCAAACAGTGAGGATTGCTGTTACTCCAAGGCTGCATCAATTCTTCGGATTTTTGCTGAGTACAAGCTGTGTGTGGTAATGTTGGATCTTGAGTTGGACGCACTGATTCTAGAGATGTTTCAGCTATTTCTGGATTCCATTTGGTAATTATTTACTGCATGCTAGCTTATTGTACTTCAACATGTTAGATTTCTTTTCCAACACGTAGAACCGTTACTACTTTTGCTCTTACATTTACATTTTGGTTGTCGAGGCAGATTGAAGTTCTGCCAAGTAATGTGAGGCCATACAATTTGGGGATCTTAGATGCAATTAAGCAATGTTTGATTTCCATTTTTATTGTAATTAAACTCACACATCTTTCTTGCCTGTTCTCAGCCCCAGCAATGCACCATACATGGAGGAAATCATGACAATGGTAATTGAGGAAAGTGAAGAAATCTCGGTGGATCTTCTAAATATCCTCCTAACTACTGCAAACCAGGTAATTTCTTTTTCTAGCTTAGTGTTTTATATTGTTTACTCTCTCTCTCTCTCTCTCTCTTTCCGAACATATATTGATACTGAAGTTGGGTGCAGAATCCTCAGAATCTTTCTTACATTCTGGGAGAGAGAGTTTTTAGTAATTGCAATGTTAAACTGCAATTAACATGGCAGGAGGCAATCGAAAGACAAAATTTGGTGAGCTTCTCCAATATCCAAATCTCATGTGATTCCATAAGCATGTACAGATTATGTGCAACTCTTTTTGTTTTGTTTTTTTTTTTACACTTTTCTTGTGGCAGGAAAACAAGGAGCTTGCACCTACTTCTTCTTGCCCTACAGATGTTGCCTCATCTGATAACCCAAAAGAGCTTTCGTCAAGCAGTGCTTGTCTTCCATCCTCAGATTCAGCCAAGATGCCTGGCCACGATACATCTTCTAATACATTACTTCATGGTGGTCAAGTAAACCGGAATCACAATCAGACTCCAACTAGGAGAAGAGTGCGAAAGCCAAATTCATTGATGAAGCCAGAGGAAGGGTATGATCTCACTTGGATCAGTACTGTTGAACGAAAATCTGATAAAACTCCTTGCCAAGTGAAACCAAGCAAGAAAAGAACTACAGAAAGCCGTGCAGAAGAAGAAAACAAACTGAGTGGTGAAACCTCCAAAAAGAGGAAGAGGAAGTGTTCTCCTTCAGAAAAGGTATGGTGTTATCATCATTTATTGGGCTGTCATGTATATATTAAGTATTTCAAGAAATTTTGTTCAAACAACTTTTGAAAATACGGAAAGTTTTGTTCAACTCAACCAAGCAGTAGATTATACATTGGGGAAAATTTATAAAATGGACATTTTGACAGTTGTCCAACAATGGTAACTTCTAACTGCTAGTGATATGTGGATAATATATGGGTTAATGAACAAAAGTACCTTATTAAGATATGATGTTTTTGCAACTCCAAGAATGTGCATTTTTTCTCCCTCTCCCCTTCTCCCTTCATCTACCTGTTTATCTATGATAAATTCACTTCTTGTATTCCTTTTCCATAGGCAGCGAGAACGCTAGCTGAAGAGCTGGTTGGTTGCAGAGTAAAAGTTTGGGAGCCAAAAGACGAGAAGTACGTGGGTACAGTTAGTTGGTGGATATTTTGTTTTGCAGCTGATTATATTCCTTCTGATCTGTTCACACACACCTTTGTTTATGAACTATCTTGCAAAGTGCAATTACGTTTTCTTAGATTCTTTAATACTTTCTAGTTTTTCTCATGTGCTGCTTTGTTTGTCCTAGGTTCTATGAAGGTAGTATCACTTCTTATGACAAATCTGAAAATAAGCACAAGGTAAGAAGATTAGGTTGTACATCTAAATATGTAATGATTATATTCCAGCCTTTTCGTTACCATTTTAACTCTCTACTGTTGTATTGATTCGTTTGCTATTATGATCTTTTCCTTTCGGAGGTCAATTGTGATGATGGATGTGTAAAAGACATGAATCTTTCAGTAGAACGCTGGGAACCCATCAGAGATGATGATGTGAGGAGTACTTGGCTTGATTTCTTTTTTATTTATAATCTCTGTGCTAACGCTTTATAACACCGATTTAATACATGATCTTTTTCAGGAACAAATGCCTTTGGCAGGTGTTGATGGGTAAGCTACATGTTAATCATGTCGCGTTTAACTATGACATCTGATTTGCTTCTCATCAGTTCTTCATATGCACTTCATGCTATTCTTTGAATGACAATGTGTAACTCTTGTTGGTCTGCAGAAAGTTATGTCCCCTAATAAATATGTTTCAGTATCGCTATTCAAGAAGAAAGTGCGGGTTTAGAATGATCTGATCTGCGCGTAAATACTGAACTATTGTTGAGGGGTAAGTATTTAGTTTGTGTTGATGGATGATGTTAATAAGCAGTGATGTAGGAGTTGTGAGTAAAAGATTGATAGGGATCGGATATTAATTGGGTGAATTTCCCTTTAATTTGTTTTTGTAAGAAAGTGTGCAAACCAGGGGGGGAAAGCAAGATTGCAGCAGAAACAAACGAGGAAGATGATACTATGTTGTTGCCTTGTTGGGTTACGTTGGCAGTGTTTTTCGGTGATTGGGAGAAGGCAGTGCAAGGTTTTAATTTGGTTTGTGAGTAAGATCCTGAGATTGTTGAAACCTTTGCAGAGGCACTCTCTTGGCTTGGGTAGATGGGGTATCCCGCATATAAATAGAGACGGATTGTCAGATTCTTCAGCAAATCATTGTACTCAACCTATTATTGTAACTATTGAAGATAAGGCATAGTGTCTGAGAATTGATAAGAATTTTGTTGAACGTAAAAGTTACTTTTAATTACTTTCATTTTGATTTTTGATACATTCTTATTTAAAGAAGTCGGCATCATGGAGGCTTGAAGTGGGCATTATGGAAAGTAGGTTAGATGGTGGAGGCATGGATCTTAAGTATTGAAAGTGCACAAATAGTATAATGTGTGAAAAACAGAAGTTTGGATTGTAAGTCAAGTTGTTGCGGTATGGAAACAAATACTGATGCTAAGTTTAAGTTATATTTTTTTATAACCAGCTTAATTAGTTGGCACATTACTTAAAATCAACGAATTTTCAAACACCTGAAAGTGATTAGAAATGACTTTAATCCGGTTAGAAACACTTTTTTTTTTCTATCATTTTGAATATTCGGAAAAACCTTCGTCGCTATTTTCAACCACCAAAAAATGTAATTGGAAATAGCGACCATTTTTCTAAAATGGTCAAAAATAATGTCCGTTTTTCTAAAGTGGTCGGAAAAAATGGCTAACAGAACAAATGGAGGGTTTCAGAATTTCTGATCACTAGTGGTCGAAAAATCCGGATCAAGAAACAATTCTTGGTCAACGATTTTTTGACCACGGGTGGTCAGAAATACACTGATTGTCGGAAAATCCCTTACCAAGAATGGTTTCTTGGTCCGGATTTTCTGACCACTGGTGATCGAAAATCTCGACCAGCGACCACCACGGGTTGGAAATAAATTAGTAATTTAAAAAAAAAATTGTTGTTTCTATCAGCACTTTCATACAAATTATCCACTGATTCACCAATTTTAAAATAAGTAATAATTGCATAAAAATACAATATCACTACAAAGATTATATATTTTTTTAAAAAAAAGATTATATATTTCAATAGCACTCAACGAACGTCACGGTGTTCACCTCAGTCGAACGATATTGCCAAACATAAATATCAAGACGTTGATAAGTTCGGGTCTACCTCAAAGTGTGTGGGGTGAGACAACACTTTGGACAAGTACCTTTTAAATAAGGTTACCCGCATGAAACTCGATAAGGCTTCTTATGGGTTGTGGGTACGTAGGAAGCTTTCCTACTAATGCCTGAAATGTGGGGGTATCTTGCCAAAGGCATTTATTGGTTCTTAGTGCACGAGCCCTATAGTTTGGATGTACATAAGAACACGATAAATTGAATTAAGAAATTCATCATTCTTTGAAGATGTATTTCTGTGAAAGTTCAATATAGGATCTAGCACATTGAAATGAACGTTCGACGTAGCTGTGGTTGAAGAGTATGAAAGAGAACCCGAGCTAAAAGCTAAACGTAGCAAGAGAGCAAGGATTGGAAAATCTTGCGGTCCAGATTTTCTAACGTACATGTTAGAATGTGTTGCGCATATTCTAACTTGTTTACTAGGAAATAAACCGAATTTTTCTCACAAGGTTGTTAGAAAATGAGCATCGAAAACGTACGTAGAAGTTGTGACTTCTACGGATGGATCAATGTGAAAAGAGGCTACAAAAAGTGAAGTAGATTTTATCTTAGAGAATCCTCACCATACCGTCCCCCTACCACATTCATTCCCAAGTAAACTAGAAACCCTCAAACCCAAAGTCAGTTAAGCCATTCTCCCGTACCGCCTCCCAAAAACCCCACTTCAAGAAATCCAGGTGTGGAACCTGCCCAACCTTCTCCCTCTCCCACATAATATCGTTAAAATCCCCCATAATAACCTACGGAAGAGTATTTACAGAGGATAAATACCTAAGAAGATCCCACGAACTATGCCTCTAGTGATGTTTTGGGCTGCCATAATAGCCAGTGAACAGCCAACGAGGGGAAGAACCGCCACAGGTAACAATTGTATTAATGTAATGGTTTGAATAACCCACCACTTCCACGTCCAATCCCCCATTCCACAACAAAATCAGGCCCCCACTACTGCCTTACGCCTCCACCGTAAAACAACACTCATACTTTAGCTTCAAACGAACCCCGCCCTTCCATTCTCGCCTTACCACTCAAGAGTTTCAGACAAAAATAAAATGCCATGTTTTTTGTGATTAACAAAGCCCAACAAAACATGTATTGCCAATGGGTTTCCAAGTCCACGACAGTTCCAACTTAAGCAATTCATTTGACCTAGTGGCCCTGGAGACCAGAACCCACCTCATCAGACACAACAGTATATTGATCTTCAGCAGCCATAAGACTAACCCAAGTATCACTACCACCCACCACCTCACGCTCACTCCCCACCCTACGCCTCTTCTACTCCATAACCACCACTCCCTCACTCTCATCTCCCTCATTTACCCCCTCATAATTATTCCCAACATGATTACCATCTCCACTAATCACGAACCTCCCCTCATTTAATGCAGAATTGATACCCTTATCCCTCAGTATATAAATGCGTCACTAATGACTCATCATTTTTTGCCGTTACCTTTGCCTCCCCAGAAACGTCCGGTTTAGCAGTTGCCGTCAAAGGATCCAACACCAGCCATCTATTCACTAGAGCTGACGTCCCCCTCCTACTGCCAGCCCGTAACCAAAAGCCAAAAGGCTTCTATGATCTTTTCCGTCCATCGGCTTCTCAAAAGCTAATGGACAGAACCTATTCCCATACCCGATGATTCCACACTGGAAACAGAAGAATGACAAATATTCATATCACAGATCAACCCAAAACAACTCCCCACCAGGTTTCTTCATCTTCATTTTCGCTTTCAGAGGTTTAGAGATAAGAAGCTGAACACGAATCCACATGAAGGACTTCCAAGCACCATCAAAGTTACGTGGATCAACAACTTTAAACGTTCCAACAGAATTCCCTATAAGCGTTGTTACCTTCAATTCTTAGACATAAAACCCGAGGGTACGTAAGTTATGAACCTGAATCCAAAAGGATTACTCATCCAAACTAACAACCATCAAATCATCTTCTTTGTCCAACAGACGTAGCAACACTAGGTTTTATTCGAAGGTCCACGGACCAGCATCCATGACACAAGAATTATGTCGTTCATGATAAAAGGTAAACATGAACCAGTGATTCCGAAGCTCACGTATATGAACTCCCCTCCCCGGATGCCAAGCAGTCACCATAACATCCCAAAAAACCACGAACTTGATCGGACGATCAATAACCACCCTTCCCACCATAGGAAAATGATAGTCGAAGGTTGGTTGAGCAATATCCTCAACTTCTACCACCACCCCTTTGGCCTTTATCATCATCGATAATAGTTAACGCCTCGCATGAATTCGCGAGGCCACTCGTACCACCTTTCTTCATAAGTTGAATAGGAAAAGCGCCGGAGAACTCAAGCTGAAGAACCGGAATCGGTAAAAAAAAATCCTAAAAACGGCCCAAGAAGCTCCCCACGAGAGAAAATGGGAGAGATGAGAACTTTCATTTTCCTGTCGATCCAAGGATAAAAATGGTTATTAGTGATATATCATTGAGAAGAAATAGTAGAGTTCCTTGAATTGGGCGGTGTACAAGTGGATGTGTGTCATTTTCACAGTGATAATTATATAATCTCTATCTCTATATATATATTAAAGCAAAATGATTTAGGGAAAATTTTTTCCCGATTAAGGGAAAATTTTCCCTAATTATAATCATCATACATAATTAAATAAAGATGAAAAGAAAATCAAAGTGAGTAATAAACAAAAAGATTTTAGTGGATAGGAGAGTAATTCACAAAATTAATTTGAGTAATAATTGTTGATCCATAATTGAGAATTAACATTGCAATAATTATGTTATGTTTCTAACATTAATTGATTGGAGATAAATTTAAAATTCAGAATCAATATTTACATGAACATCTACACCTACTTCAACACTATAAATAAACCATCATCCACAGGACCACAACCAATACAACAATTATGTTTTGGTCATGGCTGGAATTGAGAAGATGGTTGTGGCTAGAATAGGGAGAATAATATTTCTGGGAGTTTAGATCTCTTATAGAGCTTTATACCATGCGATCTGGAAAAGATGAATCAAGAAATGCGCAGTAGACATGAAGAAAAAGCTGAGGATAAAAATCATACCTTACTTCTGAACCTGGGGCTTCGATTCTTGGAGCTGTTCTTTCTTGGAAGCAGAGGCAACCGTTAGCCGTAGCTCATGAACGCGAAGAAGAAGCAGCTTATGTAAAGACTATTTTTCCCTCATGAATAAAAAATTTAAAAAGGTTTAAGTTTTTCCGGCCAATTTCCATCGGTGATTTGGCCGGAAGGACCAAATCTGCTAAAAAAAAGTATAGTTAAATGACTAAATTGTTAGTTTTAAAAGTCATGGAGCGAAATTAACACGCCTCCTAATGTCATAGGACCAAAAGTGTAATTTGCTCATTTGTTAAATTAATTATAGTCCGTGCATCGCACGGGACACTTATTAGTGAGATTATAAAAAGTCAAAGGGAAAATGTACAAATAGGTCATTGAACTATTTGAGGGATATCAATTAAGTCACCAAACTCGAATAAGCTCAAAATTCATCCATGAACCTGGAAAAAAAATACAATTAGCAGTTTTAGCAGATTAACAGGTTTGGGTTGTCATGTGTATATTTTATTTTATATTTTACTATTTTTATTATCCTACTAAGCATTTGACCATCTTCCATGTCATGTTTTCCTGACGTGTCGGGTACTGTATTTAAAAATAACTTATTTTAATAATTTCAAATAAAATAATTATTTTTTTAAAAATAAAATAAATAAAATAATTATTTTGAAATTTTTAAAATAAATTTGGAGAATGATATTGCCGTTTCTGCAATATTTTGTTTAATCTAAACAAAAAATTCAGAAAAATCTCTTATGTCCATATATTGACAGTCTCATTGTGTAGGGAGAATACGGTGAGAATAATATGCTTCAGAGGCCACTCGCAGCGGTAATAGTCTCGGATAAATTCATTGTCCTGCAAATACTCATTCACCATTTTTTTTTTTTAATTTCAAAATAATGATTTTATTTATTTTATTTTTCTTTTTGAAAATAATTATTTTATTTGAAATTATTAAAATAAATTAAAATAAATTATTTTTAAATACAGTACCCGACACGTGAGAAAATAAAATAAGAAAAACATGACATGAAAGATGGTCAAAATACTTAGTAGGATAATAAAAATAATAAAATATAAAATAAAATATGTACATGGCAACTCAAAACTCTTGTTAACCTGTTAAAAATGCTAATTGCACTTCTTTTCTAGATTTATGGATGAATTCGGAGCTTATTCGAGTTCGGCGGCTTAATTGCTATCTCCCAAATAGTTTAATGGCCTATTTATACCTTTTTCCAAAGTCAAATTATATGATATAGAATCAAGTATTGATACAACATCTTTTAATTTTACTGCATAATATTTAGTGTTGATACAACATCTTTTAATTTTACTGCATAATATTTATCTTTGTTCTTATGTGCTATTATTTGAATTTTTAAACAGTTTCGTTACTAAATTGATTTCTTTATAACATGTGGTAGCATCGGTCAATTCAGCAATATAAATAAAGAGAATTTTATTATTATATTAGGATGTGAGCATTAATTGATAAATTAAAAGGAAAAAAATAACATTTTTATGATGGAAGAATTATACTCTTTGCATATATAGAAATTTCAGTTTTGCCTTTATCTAATGTTAGTACAAAATTATTATCCATTTTGAGATTATTCTTTATTTTTTTCCATATATAGTTTAAGGTTAAATTTTTTTACATTTAATCGCATCAACATGGTAAATCCAAAATATATTTTTAAGACAACATTGATTAAATGTATACAATCAAGAAGAAATGACAAAACAAAGTTAGATGAATGTGAAAAAGAAAAAATTAAAGTTTAAATAGTAAAAAATCATTAAATAAGAGTTAAAACACTATTAATTCAATAAAATAATAATTTAGAACAGTTGATAAGCAGAGGCAGTGTATGAATTCAAGAATTTCTTTTTCCATTTATAATTGTATTGTATTTTGATTATATCGAGAAGAAAAGAAAAATATGAATAGGATTGCACAAATTTGAAAGGCAATAAGAAACTCCTATGCGAAGTGCAAAGTTTTCCAGTGTGAACAGAGCCCATTGTGGTACTCATAAATTCAAGTTGTTGCTCCAGTTCTTAAGCACTAGAAACCAAGCGGAGACCAAAAAGCAAAAAAAGAAAATTTTTTGTTTGTAACGGCTGGAGACCTGGAGTGATGAGCAATGCTGATTGATGGCAGATGACAGATGTGCAGTTCCTCTTCTGCATGCCTTCCATTTTTCATGTAACCCCAATTTGCTACGCCATCTTTTATTTTTATATACTTTATTAACTACCGGGGTCGGGGTGGTGTCATTTTTATGGGCATTTCTCTCTCTCTATCTCTTTCTTGATTACAGTTCTCAAGAAAAAGTGTCAAACTTTTCTTGTTTTTCGCTAGAATTCTGCTGTTCTTGTTGATCAACATTTTCTTGATTTTTGTTTTCTTTTTTGTGTTTGGAGAAAGATTGCAAAATGGCCGCTGATGGTGCCGGTTTTGCTGAGCAAGAGTTAATCAAGCAACTTGTTGATGCTGGGAATGAGCTTCTCCAGAACCCTCCGGCTTCAAGAGAGGAGCTTTTGGGAAAACTTGAAGTGAGGCAACCTTTCTCCTGTACCCTTTTCCTTGTTCTCATTTATCACCAACTCAAAATTCTTAATTTTATGCGTGTTTGTATATGTGTATGTGTATGTAGACAGTAGACGCAACCCAAAGAGATGAATTTGTTTATGGTGTTGCTTGATTGAATGGGGGATGAGAAGTTGAGTTACGGTCTTCTGGTTTTGTATTGATTGTACATTGTGCCTGTTGTGTCTTGAATTTGGAACTTGATATCTATACAGGATGCTTAATTTCATGGTTACTTGGTCCTGTTGGTATGGTGATTTCACAATTTTGGCGTTGGATAATTTCTTGCAGGTTCCATTTTTCATAGTTGGGAGGATTTTATGTTGCAATTTTATATGCAAATGGGGGTGTTATAAGATCAATTTTTTATGGTGTTTGCTTGAATAAAACATTGAATCTGCTTAGGGGTCTTTGATTGAATGGGGGATGAAAATTGTCACGTGTTGATTGTAAGTTGAGCCTGTTGTGTCTTGAATTTGGAACTTGATGTGAATACCCGTATGCTTAGTTTCATGATTACATAGGTCCTTGTGGTGTGTTGATGTCAAAATTTTGGTGTTGGATAATTCTTTGCAGGTTCGGTTTGGGAGGAATTTGTGTGTCATTTTTATATGTGAATGGGGGTGTTACTGTTATAATGGTGTTATCTGTGTATATGAACACAACCTAAAGAGATCAATTTGTTTACGGTGTTGCTTGGATATAACATGAGGCTGCTTTGGGGTCTTGATTGAAAGGGGGTGAAAAGTTGTGTGCTTCTGGTTTTGTATTGATTGTATGTTGTGTTTTTGAATTTCGAGCTTGATATGAATACCGGTACACTTAACTTCACCATTACTTAGGTCCTTATGCCTTATGGTATAGTGATGTCAAAATTTTCTTGTAGGTTCCATGCATAACACATGTTTCATAGTTATGTGGCATCTCTATACGTCCTTAATTGTTTTGCAAATTGGGTGTTATCAATCAAAAACTCCTTTTAGTCATGACTGTTAAGAAGAAAATGTAATCGGAGAGCCCCTTCATTTCCCCAGCTCGGTTTTAACTTTTGCATAAATGAGGGTTTGTATTGTTTCTTCTACAATTATATGCTGGTCCTGTGGGAAACCTTTTGTTGATTTTTTAACCCCTCGATATTGTGTTAGAGATAACTGGGAAGTACACTTCCAGCCCTGCTTTGTCACGTGTTAAAGGTTATTTTCGGTTCTAGTAAGTAATAATTAGTGCAAAACATGTGTTTTTTGGTCAAGGAATATAGGAATTGAAAGCTTGGTTGACCACGGATTATATTGCTATTTAGTAAACCATACCTAAGAAGCAATTCATCCAACAGTTCAATTTTCAGATTGATCGTTCCAGAAATTTGGCTTACGTGGTTCAATTTTCTGGTTTGTTTATAATTTACAGAGATTAGGGCTTCTTCTTTCTAATGTATATCAAGGGCAATCTGGATCATTTCATGAAGCACTTGAACCATCAATCAAGGCACTATTTGGCGATGGACTTGTACAACATGCTGATCTGGAAGTGAAAACCTCAACAACATACTGCTTGAGTGAGATTTTGAGAATAACAGCTCCAGATCAACCATGTGATGATAAATCAATTGAGGCAATTACACACTTTGTTAATCTTTCAAATAACAACATAATCACTTTTCACCGGAGGACAACTAAAAATCACCCCCGTTCTTGTTCAATTATGCAGGAGTTTTTTCAGCTTGCAATAATGGCCTTCGGGAAGTTGGCAAACGTGGAGGATCGCTGTTATTCAAAGGCTGCATCAATTCTTCAGACTTTTGCTAAGTACAGGCTGTGTGTGCTAATGTTGGATCTTGAGTTGGATGCGTTGATTCTAGAGATGTTTCAGCTATTTCTGAGTTCCATTTGGTAATTATTTAATTTAATGTTAGCTTATTTTATTTCAACATGTTGGATTTCTTTGCCAATACTACTTTTAGTTGGGTGGTGGGCTGTGCCGAGATCTAAGTGTAGGAGTGAATTGATTTCCATTTTTGTTGTTGCTGATCGTAAACCAACTTACGCATCTTTCTTGCCTGTTCTCAGCCCCAACAATGCTGATGCTCTATTACCATACATGGAGGCAATCATGACAATTATAATAGAGGACAGTGAAGAAATCTCAACGGATCTTCTAAATATCCTCCTAACTAGTGCAAACAAGGAAAACCAGCAGGTAATTATATTGCTTTTTCTAGTGTTTACTCTCTATATATTGATACTGAAGTTGCATTCTTTGGTGCAGAATCCTTTGAATCTTTCTTATGTGCTGGGAGAGAGAGTCTTTAGGAATAGCAATGTTAAGCTGCAACAATATATCCCTGGAGCTGTGAAATCCTTGGGTATTAACATCAACGATTATGCTGAAATAGTGGAATTATCATGGCGGGAGGCAATTGAAAGAGAAAATTTGGTGAGTTTCTCCAATGTGAAATATGATTCCTGAAGTGTGTGCAGCTTCTGTGCAACCCGTGAGCGTGAGAGAGAAGAAAGCATAAATAAATTTTTTTAATCTTTTCTTGTGGCAGGATAAGAAGGAGCTTGCACCAAATTCTGCTTCTCCTAGAGATGTTGGCACAACTCAGAAGTTATCAAGCAGTGATTGTCCGAGAGAAATTCCATCCTCGGATTTGGCCAAGGCTGCACAAAAGAGCCTCGCTCCTCCAACTAGAAGAAGAGGGCGTAAGCCAAATTCTTTGATGAAGCCAGAGGAAGGGTATGATCACACTTGGATCAGCATCGAAGGAAAATCTGATAAAACTCCCTGCCAAGGGAAAGTGAGCAAAAAAAGAAGTGGTCGTCCTCGTAAACATTTGGTTTCTAAGGGATCACATTTCACATCAGGTACGAGTGAGGCTGAGATCTTAAAGCCTACCGCATCGCAAAGTCTCAACACTATTGAAGACTTCCGGACTAGAGAAAGACGTGCAGAAGAGGAAAACAAACCAAGTGACGGTGAACAATTGATGCCAGTTTCAGATTCGCTAAAAGGTGCAGAAGAGGAAAAGAAACCAAGTGATGGTGGTTATCGTTCTGCTTCTACTAAAAAACAGATCAACAGTGGTGAAACTTCCAAAAAGCGTAAGAGGAAGTATTCTCCTTCAGAAAAGGTATGGAGTTATTAACATTTATTGGGCTGCACGTACATATTAAGTGTTTCAAAAGTTTTTATTCAACTCAACCAAGCAGTAGAATATAATCAATAAATATCGGGGCAAATATATAAATGGACATTTTGACAATTGTCTAACGATGCTAACTTAGTGCTTGTGATATGTGGATAATGGGTTAAACGTGTTCCTTAATGAACAAAAGCACCTCAAGAATATTACGATATGATGTTTTTGCAACACAGAATGTGTCAATGTGCCTTTCTGCTCCCCTCTCCCCTTCCCCCTTCATCTGCCGGTTATCTACTTCTACGCTTTTGAGCTAATGTTTATCTACTTTCTACGTTAAATTCACTTCTGCTTGTATTTTTTTCCCTAGGCGCCAAGAAAGCAATCTGAAAAGCTGGTTGGTAGCAGAATAAAGATTTGGTGGCCATTAGATCAGACGTGGGTACATTTAGTAGACATTTTTTTTTGCAGCTGATGATTATATGCCTTCTGTTCACAGACACCTTAAAAAAAAAAAAAAAAAAAAAAAAACTTGCAATGTGAAATTATGTTTTCTTAGATTTTTGAATATTTTCTCACATGCCAGTTTGTGTTTCTAGGTTCTATGAAGGTAGTATCAAATCTTTTGACTATTTCAAGAAGAAGCATGAGGTAAGAAGATTAGGTTATTGCCAATCTTATCAAAACTGTGTTAATTTTTCATTAATTGTTTGTTTATAAGCACCTGTACGTTTTTGTCTCACTTGTTGCTACGATTTCTTTTACATTGTTCATATCATTTTTAGTGCTGTACGCTGTAACATTGATTGTGACTTTCTATTGTTTCGTTTGCCATTTTTTCCCTTTTGAAGGTCATTTATGACGATGGAGATGTAGAATATTTGGATCTTTCAAAAGAACACTGGGAATTAATCAGAGATGTTAAGTCAGCTGTTGATGTGAGCGCTTGGCTTGATTTCATGTTTTTTTTTTTTTTTTTTTCTCTTCCCCCTTCATCTACTTGAATATTTACACCGATTTATACATGATATTTTTCAGGAACAAGAGACTGTGGCAGGTGTTGCCGATTTATCTGAAACGTAAGCTGTGTGTAAATCGTGTCACGTTTAAATGTTTGTACAGTGACATCTGATTTTCTTCGTATGCTCTCTTGACAATGTGAAACTTGTTTGTTTGCAGAAAGCTTGACCATGTAACAAATTTGGATCGCTCTGCAAGAAGTACGTGCAAGGTGAGCAAATATGAAAACAATAACTAGCTATGTTTGACAAAGAATTTCTTGTTTTAGAAACAAACTGTTATAGTCGTAACTGTGAAGCTACTGTTGAGAGTTGGCCGCCCCCAACTCGAGATATCATTTATGTGGTCTCGTTTTGGGAATCCTGTGATTTTTATATCTTTAGGTAGTGTTAAGGATGCAATATTTGCTGTTCTTTAACATAATCTTCATTCACAAATTGATTTCCGCAATAGCACTGGTAGTGACATTTCAATGTACAGGCTCGGGATGGTGCTGAATTAGCTGTAGAGAAACGAGAAGTTGAACAGCGCAAGGCTTCCAGAAGCAATTCAGCGCCATCAACATCTGAAAGGGTACAATTTTCCTGTCAGTAATTTATTTAATGTGCGAGATGTTTCTTTAAGCGCCGCTACTAACATTTCAATACACACACAGGCAGATGATGCTTCCGTTGAATTACGTGTTGTGAAACAACAAGTTGAAAAGCGGAAAGTCATCAGAATAAAACCAACACATCAAAGGGTATGCTTTTCCTTTTGTTGCCGGCGTTAATCCTAATTCTGCTTCTAAGAACAGTTTCAGCAGCCGAAAGCAATTCAAATTTTATGCACCGCCTTTGCACGCCTGAATCCTGATTGCTTCTTAACTGGACTTGAATTTTTATTTGCTGTTCTTACGCGATTTTCATTCACAAATTGATTTCTGTAATTTAATGTTCATAATCTTCTTTCACAGGTTCGGGACGCTGCTGCTGAATTAGCTGTAGGGGAAGAAGGTGAAAAGCGGAAAAACAAAAGGAGACGAACAAAGAAGGCAACCCCTAGATTCTCAGTCCTTGATAGCGAAAAGGTGAATGTTAAAGGCTATCAAGTGAAAGCCAGTGCTGCTTCTATATTGGAGGAGATTTTCGAAAAGCATGGAGATATCGCTGCCAACTGTCCCTACCCATCACGGGGGTTTAGGGCCTCCGTCTTTGAGGTAATCTGTGATGTCATCAGACAACTGAGAACTAATGATTGGGGAACCATTGTTTCGATGGTTGGACAGATGAAGACTGAAGTCTCTGACACTGCAGCTGCTGCTCATCTCGAGGTCTCGTGGCTGAAGCAGATTCTCGATGATATTCCAACCGAGGGTGATGGGCAGCTAGCGAGTGTAATCACAAACACTTCACTTGTTAGTAAAGCAGCCAGGAAGGACTTGACACAGAGAAAAGCCGAGCTTTTGATTGCAGAGCACAGCTACGAGGAGGCCAAAAGACAGCTTGAGCGTGCTGAAGAGAGTAAACGAACAGCAGAAAGGGCAGTCGAGGTTCTTGAATCAGTGAAGAAAAAGGCCCAAAATGACATAGTGTTGAACTTCAACAAACGGAATGATCTGCATAACAGGTTCTTTACTCTCCAATAACCTCCCGGGGCCTGCTCTATCCCAAACCTCCTGTGTATCAAGTTTTCAGACCTTCGAGGGCTTCAGAGTAAGGGAGAATAATTGTGAAGATTCGGGGAAAGAGCTGTTTGCTGAGAAATCCCAACGGTGTTGTTCTGAGCCCAGTCACTGATATGACAGTTTCCCCATGGTGGTGGATGAAGAGCCACTGATGCTCTAGGGAATTAGTTTAGAACATTTGTCTGTATGTATGTTCCTTTTTAACTTGTAAATATGATTTTGGAACCCAATGAAAGCCTTTGTTTATCCTTCTCAATCAGTATACTATGGATTTTATGTTCTCTGCAGCTTCCTCCATTTCTGCCTGTATTTAGCTCCAAAAACACGGTTTTGGAGTCAGATTTCTTAGTCTATTACAGATTGAGGCATAAAGGGAAAAGGTTTAGGAGATTAGACATAAATTTTGAGATTTCGAGGGAATGGAAAAATTTAGGGTGTATTTGGTTTGTACATGGGAATCCGAATCAAATACTTGGTATTGGTAATGGTAATGGATGATGTTTGGTTATGTATGACCTTATAATGGGAATAAAAGTTTTGAAAATATAAAAACAAAAAAATCAAGATAATTAATCATATTATAATGATACCCAAAACACTCATATGAACCAAAAATCAAAACAAAAATTTAAACGCAGTAATCCCAACTTAAAAATCAAATTACCAGGAATGATACCCTTTTTAGTTAGGGAATGAGTTTCTTAATTGAAGGGTAATCAAATCTCATAGTTATGTTATAAAAAGTTGTCAATCAAACAATAAACTATGATTTTGATTCTCATTTCTAGTGTGTAAACCTATAACCAAACACACCCTTATATTTTATAATCATAATGTTATTTCATCTGTTTATAAACCGAGTTTTTCACATTTGGTCTCATTACTTTTAAAATTCTTGTCATATTTGATTCCTTCGATTTAATTTCTACTCTCTATTCTTCATTTTAAATTAATAGATCTCGAGATAAAGCCTTATTTTTAAATATGTGAATTTTAATTAGTTTTATTAGGACTTTATGTATATATGAGTCTGTTTAGAACTTCTTATCCTTGTCACACTGTGACTCTCTACTTCTTATCATTGTCACACTGTGACTCTCTATTCTATATATTCACATCATCTGATCTCATTGTAATTAAGTTCAGTAAATACAATACAATCAGTTCTCATCTGGTATAAGTAAGCTAGGGTTTTTTCTTTGTCTCTCGTCCCTATGGCTGACGGATCTGTTAATTCCTCCGAACGGACCGTGTCTGATGCTGCTATGTCGTCAAGTTCGTCGTCAATTGTGTCGCTATCCACCGCACATCACTTTATCAGTACGAAGTTAACCTACAAGAATTATTTGTTCTGGCATACGCAAGTCGTCCCGTTTCTTCACGGGCATGACCTAATGGGGTTTGTTGATGGTACGAAACCCTCACCGGCTGTTCTTCTTCCTGCCGACGCCGACACCGCCGACGCCATGCCACGGCCGAACCCCACATATGCCGTTTGGATGCGTCAAGATCAAGCATTGTTGTCTATGCTTGTCTCCTCCCTCTCTGACGAGGTCATGCCAATCGCCGTCGGACGTCGCACGAGTCGTGCCCTTTGGGAGGCCATTGTTCAGACGTTGTCGTCTTCCTCCCGCGCCCGCGCGTTAAACCTTCTCGGCCAGTTGCAGGGACTGGACCAGGGTGATTCGTCGGTTGCGGATTACATCGGGCGAGCTCAGGTGATTGTTGAAGAGCTCACCCTCGCCGGCCACGTCGTCTCCCTCGACGATCAGAATCTCTTTGTTTTTTTGCGGCTTGAGACCGGAATTCCGTGCCCTCACCGCGTATCTTGCCGTCCGTGGGCAGCCGGTCACGCTCTAGGAGTTGGCGGACTTCCTCGGCGCCCAGGAATTTATCACCAGCCGTGATTACGGCGGTGCTCCGGCGGCTCTTGCTGTTCAGCGCGGTGGCGGCCGATCAGGTCGCGGAGGTCAGAACCGTGGCAGCGGTCAACGAGCAGGCGGTGGCAACGACAGGTCCAATCATGGTGGTGGCGGTAGACAGCATGGTGGCCGTGGCCGCGGTCGCGGACGCAACAGTGGTGGCAATCAGGTTCAGTGCCAGATATGTAGGCGGACTGGTCACGAGGCTCATGTATGCTATAACCGGTATGATTCCCCACCTCAGGCCAATCTAACATATCAAGATAATTCAGATGTTGGTACTCCTCAGACATGGATCCCGGATACAGGGGCAACTAATCATGTTACCCCGGACATTGCTGCTTTGACCACCTCAGAAGAATATGTTGGCAATGACACCTTGCGTGTCGGTGACGGTATGAGTTTATCTATTAGTCATGTTGGTCATGCTTCTTTTAATACCCCTTCTAGATCATTCACATTGTCTAATATACTTCACGTTCCACGTTTGTCTAATTCTTTATTATCTGTTCAGAAGTTTGCATCCGATAATAAAGTCTTTTTTGAGTTTCACCCCTCTTTTTTTGTTGTGAAGGATATCAATACCAAGGAAATACTTCTTCGGGGCAATAGTTCTGGGGGACTATACACACTTCCATTACCTAGTTCGTCTCCGTCAGCGTTTCTTTCCGCTTGTGCCTCGGCTTCCACTTGGCACAATCGTCTGGGTCATCCTCATAACCGTGTTCTTAGCCATATACTTCGATCTTGTTTAGTTAGTGGATCTCGTGATAATATTCGTTGTACTAATTCTTTATGCAATGCGTGTCAATTAGGCAAATCTGCCCGTTTTCCCCTCCCTCGAGTTGCTTCCTCTAGTTCTCATTTACTGGATCTTATTTACACAGACATTTGGGGTCCTGCGCCCACTTTATCTACATCTGGCTTCCATTACTTTGTGATCTTTGTGGATGACTATTCCCGTTATACATGGTTCTTCCCTATGAAATTAAAGTCTGATCTCTATATCATCTTTGATAAATTTCGTACTCTTGTTGAACGGTCCTTTAATTGCAAAATAAAGGCCATTCAGTCTGATTTAGGTGCTGAGTACAAAAAGTTGCATTCTTCGTTTGTTCAATTAGGAATTCAACATAGACAATCCTGTGCCTATACACATGAACAGAATGGTCATGTTGAACGAAAACATCGTCACATTGTTGAAACTGGTCTGGCTCTTCTAGCTCATGCCTCTGTTCCTTTGAAATTTTGGGATTTTGCCTTTGAGACTGCTGTCTATTTAATTAACAGAATGCCATCTTCTGTATTAAATAACTCCAGTCCTCATCTCCTGTTACATAAATCCCCTCCTTCCTATCTTTTTCTTTGTGTCTTTGGGTGTTTATGCTACCCTAATCTTCGACCATATAATCGTCATAAGATGTCATACAGGTCTTCTCCATGTGTCTTCCTAGGTTATCCTGAGTCATTTAGGGGGTACAGATGCATGGACTTACATACTAATAAGATTTACACATGCAGGCATGTAAGATTTGATGAAGTTTTCCCCTTTGCTACTAAAACTTCTTTGCAGGATCTATCTACTCTGTTTTCTGGACCTTGGGCGGAATCTGCTCTCAGTCACAGCACACCTATTCCTGTCGTGTCCAATGATGAGCCGCCAGAACCACCGCTACCTGCTTCATTCGAACCAGCCGTGGATCCCGGACAGGCTGCCTCGTCGGGTGATCCTGTGGAGCCTGTTGCTCGCCGGCGAGGCTATCCACGTGGGCGGTCCATCAGGCCCAATGTCCGTACTCACTCTATGGCCACTCGCAGCAACGCAGATGCTCATCTTTTTGCTTTAGCAGCTCAGGTGCATCCCACGGAACCCACATGTCACTCTCAAGCTGTCAAATATCCTGAGTGGCGTGAAGCCATGGACCAAGAATTCTATGCTCTCCTGCATAACCACACATGGTCTAGTTCCACCCACTGCAGGTATGAATATTATTGGCTATAAATGGGTGTTTCGTACGAAGAGAAAGGTTGATGGTGCTATTGAAAGGCATAAAGCCAGGCTGGTTGCGAAAGGTTTTAATCAGGTTCCAGGTCATGACTTCTTCGACACTTTTAGTCCAGTGGTAAAGCCTACGACTGTAAGACTCCTTCTATCTCTAGCTTTATCATCTGGGTGGTCTATCAAACAGCTAGATGTTCATAATGCTTTTCTGAATGGTAATCTGGCTGAAACAGTTTATATGAAGCAACCCCCTGGTTATATTGATGCTAACTTCCCGAATCATGTTTGTTTGTTAAAAAGATCTCTGTATGGGTTAAAACAAGCTCCCAGAGCTTGGTTTAATCGACTACATACGTTCTTACTATCGGTTGGCTTTCAAGCATCCAAGACAGATGTCTCTCTGTTCTATTACTCTAAAGACTCTACTTTGGTTTATCTATTGGTGTACGTGGATGACATTCTTGTAATGGGAAGTGATCAGCGTATTATGTCTCAGCTCTTGTCCAAACTGTCTGCTACATTCAAAATCAGAGATCTTGGTGAACCAAATTTCTTTCTGGGTATTGAAATAGTTAAGAGTGACAATGGGATTATTTTATCCAACAACGGTATATGAATGATATTTTAAAACGGGCTGGAATGTCTGAATGCAAACCCCTTTCTACACCTATCTCTGTCTCGAAAACTGTTCCCTTCAATTCAGATCTATATGATGATCTCACACAGTACAGGAGTCTAGCTGGAGCATTGCAATATCTCACTGTTACACAACCTGACCTATCCTTTGCAGTTAATCAGTTATGCCAGCATATGCATGCTCCCACCATATCACACTGGGAGCAGCTCAAACGGGTACTCAGGTATGTTAAGGAAACAGTTGATCATGGTTTACGCATACGACGGTGCTCATCTAGAGACATTCATGCTTTCTCAGATTCTGATTGGGCTGGTTGTCCTGACGATCGAAAATCCACGAGTGGTTTTGCTGTTTTCTTGGGGAGTAATCTTATATCATGGGTTTGCAAGAAACAGAGAACTGTTGCCAGGTCATCCACTGAGGCTGAATACAAAGCTCTTGCAGATGTTTGTGCTGAGGTTCTATGGATTATGTCATTACTGCGTGAGATACAGATTCCGGGTATTTCCATTCCAAAATTATGGTGTGATAATCTAGAAACTACATATATGAGTGCCAATCCAATCTTTCATGCGCGCACCAAGCATGTGGAGATTGATTATCATTTTGTTCGTGATCGAGTAGCTTCAGGCGATATCCAAGTCAACTTCATCTCCACAAAAGATCAACTTGCTGATATCTTCACCAAAGCTCCGCCTGGA